GCTTGTCCATGTAAGGCCCTATAGACCAGAACCAGGATCTTGAAATGAACCCTGAAGTTGACTGGCAGCCAGTGAAGCTGGAGGAGAAGCGGGGTGATGTGGGTGTGTTTGGAGGACTTGGTCAGAAGCCGAGCACAGGCGTTCTGAACCACCTGTAGACGGTTCAGGGAGGTTCTGCTCAGACACGTGAAAAGAGAGTTACAGTAGTCTAAGCGTGAGGAGATGAAGGTGTGGAGAACTGTCTCAAGTTCAGAGCGGGACAGAATGGGACTCAGCTTAGCAACGTTCCTGAGATGGAAGAAGGAAGAGCCAACAAGAGAACTGACATGAGAATCCAGGGTGAGAGCTGGGTCAAAGGTCACGCCAAGATTCCTGACAGAAGGTTTGGTGTGAGAAGCAAGCTGACCAAGAGAGTCTCTGACTTTGGGAACCAGCTTGTCTGGGACACAGATGAGGACCTCAGTCTGATCTTCATTCAGCTGAAGAAAGCTCCCACCATCCAGGTTCTGATAGAGTCTAAGCAGGTGTGTAACAGCTGCAGCTTAGACATCTCATGGGGCTTAAAGGAGATGTACAGTTGGATGTCATCTGCATAAAGATGGTAGGAGATTCCTTTGAAGGATCTCAGGATGTGCTGAAGAGGAAGCAGATAGAGGAGGAAGAGCAGAGGCCCCAGCACAGAACCTTGTGGGACACCATGGGTAAGAGAGGTGCTGGAGGACCTAAACTTGGAGACGTCCACAGAAAAGGAGCGCTCAGAGAGATAAGAGGAGAACCACTCCAGAGCAGATCCTGATAGGCCTACCCAGTCTCTCAGCCTCTCCAGTAGCAGGTGAAGGTCAACAGTGTCAAAGGCTGCAGTCAGGTCCAGCAGGACCAGAACCAGAACCCTGCATCACTGTGAGTCAGAAGGTCATTAGAGACCCTAAGAAGAGCTGTTTCAGTAGAATGAGCTCTACGAAAACCTGTCTGGAAGCTATCATAGATGTTATGTTCATCAAGAGCAGCTGTGAGTTGTTTAGCCACAACCTTTTCCAAGATCTTGGAGATGAACGGAAGTTTAGAGATGGGTCTGAAGCTGCTATGGAGAGAGGGGTCCAGACTCGGTTTTTTAAGAAGCGGGTGGATTACAGCGTTCTTTCATACCCATGCCAGATTTTGACTTGGTTACTTCTGTTCAACCAGCGAGTTATTGTTTGATGGGAAATGACTTGGGCGTCTCCTAAAAGATGATTAGACGAGACAACGTCTCAGCTTTTATGTACATTTGAGCAAAAGGTGTCCCGTCCAAGACTATTCATCCCCTCCGAAAACTGTCGGGCTCAGGGAAAATCCAAAGTTCTGATCCGTTCCAAGTCCAAGCAACTTAACTACCCAGATTCTGCGGGACTCAACTGGTGAAAAACTGCAGCCATGACACTTTTTGCTCAAATGTAAATAAAAGCTGAGAAATGTTTTCAGCACAATAATTCCTCATGTATATGGTAACTGCCGGACACACCTGCGTCGTTTCCCATAAAACGTCACTTCCTGGTTGAATCAAACCAACTCTAAGTCTAAAACTGGTCGTGGGTAAGGAAGTTCACGGGCAGCACGTTAGGCTGTGTTCACACCATCGACATACATATATGGACAATGGGTTTCCATAGACTCCAATAATAAGTTTTTGTACTAAAATGGGAGGTGGCCACCACCGCCATTTTGACCGTGTCACAGGTTCCGCCAAGCCCAGACAATTCCATAAAAGGAAAGAGAGGTGGAGCTGAGGGTGGGGCTGTAGGGCTGGGATCAACTGACGACACCCGGTTGAACTAGCTACAAGCTAACCCAAAGCTAACGCGGAGGTGGGAGCTAAGCTAACGGAGGTAGCAACCTAGCTACAACCGGAGTTAACTGTGTACAACACCAGAGCTTCTGAGTCAGAGATACGCCGGGCTGACTGCTGGGTAAAACCGGGTGGAACACAGAGGTCTCCGAGACCTCCACAAGCCGATAGTGGGAACCCAGCTCCACCAACATGTTATATTTCAACCCATTTTCTAAAGTGCAGCATTATGTTAAATGCACTGGGTTTTACCCTGTTACATTTAAATTTCATGGTTAAACAGTACATGTTAAAATCTAAGCTCAGCTCGGCAGTGACCTAAAATACATAAATATAATTTTACTTACCGAAATAAATGAGGTGGAGACTCCTTGGACGCTCTATTAGTGCAATTAATGCCACAGCAAGTCATTTTGTCCAACAATTGCACAAAAATATCCAAACAAGAATACACAAACACAGAGCCTCAAAATCCCGGAACAGTTTCCAGGCCAGACCGAGGCTCTACTGAGGTCTTTCCCCGGAGCTAGCTCTGTGGTCACGTGGGTCTGATGCTCATTAATTATACAGAATTTTAGGCTTTTAATACACTTAAACAGAAGAGTGAGAAAAACATTCACCCCCCTCAGAGTTGTCATGAGTGTAAACTAGATCATTTAAACCAAAAACATGTTCTGGTACCAGGCTGTAAACATGTTTATTTCTGCTGTGAAATTGGTATTTTTAACATGGGAGTCAATGAGGATTTGCTCGCTTCTGACACCAGCCCCTAGTGGATGAGGGTGGAACTGCAGTTTTTGGTACTTCCGGGTTGGGACCAATTTCAGAGCCGCATTGTGGGGGCTTGGTTCAAACTGCAGGCCTTGATGCTCGATCCTGGTCTTTTTATTAAACCTGATTTATTTGTGTGGCGTTCCCTCTGTGACTTAAACGCGACATCGAACTCTCCGGTGTGAACGCGCCGCTGCACCAAAGCGAGCCGCAGAAGACAGGAAGTCCCACTCAGCAGAGAAACCAGGAGCGGCGGAGTTGTGATCCTGTGGATAAACTATGTTCAAACTATGTTATCCACCCAAAATGTTCTGGTACTCATTTGGACTTTGGGTCCAGCAGAGACCAGCAGGGCTCATGCATGAATACTGAGCAGCTGTTACTAACAAAGTCACTGATTGTTGTTGTTGTTGTTGTTGTTTTCCTACAACCCCCCCCCCCCCCCCCCCCCCCCCCCCATCAGAGACTAGATGCAGCCCTCCCCCCTCTCAGACAGCCCCCACCCTACAGGCCTCCCAGCCAGTCAGAACCAGAGGTGGCTCCAGATCTGGACCAGTTCAGAGGTGAGGCACACACGCACACTTGATGCAGTTCTGATCCACTCTGGGACCGAACCCGTCCTCCAGTGGGTCCAGCGCTGGGTTCCTAACATCCTTTTAGATCATCTCCAACTGACTCGGTTCCCCCATGCTCACTCACACTAAACGTGCAGCAGCACTCGACACTCTGTCCATGAAGGCAACAACCAGAACCAGAGACCGATCCTGACCCGTGAGAGCTGGTTCTACTGGGCCTGTTGCACAAAAGTTGGATCAAATGGGCCGTATCGGTGAAAGTCTGCTTTTGGAGCGCCCCCACGCCCATATTTGGCTGCATTTCCTGTCTCTGCCACAAGTTCTGTAACCCTGGAAACGAAGTTCATCATCAGCGTCTGATCTGAGACCCGCCTCCCCTGAAGTGGGCGCCAGCGCCCAGTTTGTGCAGATCAGAAAGTGACCTGCATGTCGCCGAGGGCTGCTTTAAACCTGACTAACTGCTTCTGCGGTGGGGAAACCATCGTCTGTCCACACAGGTGCACGTGTCGGCCAGCACAGGTGTTAGTCCAGCGGTTAGTGACCACCTGGCACGCTCCTTACACCGCTCCACCTCCTGGTGGCAGCAGGAACTTCCTCTTCAGTGCTGTTTCACGGTGCTGTGTCAGATGAGGCCTGCGTAATCTCTAATCTCTGAAATACAGAATTCAGATTTCTAATCTGTCAGCGACACTTACGATGTTTCCAGCTCTTTGTGGTAAACGGTTAGCAACAGAAGGACTAACGTGTGAGGTGAGCAGCGTACATCAGCTGCTTGGAAAAGATGCTTCAGACACCAAATACAGCAGAAATCATCTGCTGCAGCTGGCGGAATAACTACTGCTGACTCCCGGAGGGTGGCAGGCACTTATAGTAGTGTAATGAAAGTAGTGTAATGAAAGTAGTGTAATGAAAGTAGTGTAATGAAAGTAGCAGGAGGCACGAGTTACCAAAACACTTTAGAAGCACGGCACAAGAGTAAAGCTGCAGGAAAACAGAGGCCTCATGGAGGTGGGGTCCTTGAAGACATCGGCCAGAGACTAACCTCCGGTCTGAGTCCTGGACAGCTGGTTTCTGCTGAAACAGCTGTAGTAAACAACCCGACTCCGGCGATCGTGCGTTAGCGTTGTAGCAGAACAACGTGTCATCAGTCACATGTCGCTTCTGAAGCCTCTGCTAGTCGCTCACATTGGTGCTTCCTCTGGGATACGGCGACCAGAACAGAGATTTCCGGAGACGTTTAACCCATCTCCGACCCCGCCAGCTGGATATCACTACCGGAGGTGCAGACATGTTTTAGACCGTTTGACCCGATTAGGACACCGGGGACGGTTCTGTTCATCTTCAGAACCAAAATCAGTTCAGCTTGTTAACTTCTGTTAAATATTTCATCTCTGTGCTCCACCAGGAGCTCTCAGCTGACTCCAGGTCTCAGCTCCATCATCTGTCCGATATAATTCAGTCATCTACAGATAATAAATAATGTGCTGCCAGTGTTACCGCTGTGTGTGTGTGTGTGGGGGGGGGGGGGCTGGGCTTGATCAGGGCATTGTTTTGTTCCTATTTTGGTGAAATTACAGGTGAAAGTAAAATAATGAGAATATAGTGCAGAAGTTGGTTTAGTTCAGTAATTCAACGGTGAACAAATCTACGAAACAAACTTATTACATGCAAATCCTGACATTTTAAGCCTTTACTCGTCAGAATTGTGATAATTAAGGCTGGGGGGGGGGGGGGGGGGGGGGGTCTCACCTTGTCCACCCCTGACCTGCGTTCATGCTTGACTGCTTTAGACCGGTTAGTGATGTCTGGGTTTATAGATGAACAATCATTGAGGTGAGCTACAGCTATCTGGCTTCTCACCATGTTGCTCCAGAGGACAGGCCTCTGTCATAATTATTTCAGAAATTTACTAGTTATAATAATAATAATTATTATTATTATTACTTTATTCTGTAAATCCATATTTTTCTCTGTGGGAAACTCAAAATTATCTGGTCATTGCAACATTATCTAAAATCAATAATTATTCACAATAATATAAACTAATGATCACAAACGTCTAGACGAGACAGCTTTATTTATTTATTTATTTATTTTTACACAAGGCCCCTGAAAGCTAGAACAGAGAATAACCTCTGGAGTCACACACAGCAGTCTATAACCAGAGAACTGAAACAGGGATTCCTGAGTAGGTGAAAACATGGGTTAAGCTGAAGAAATACGGTGGGGGGAGTAGGCAGGGAAAGCAGAAACGGGCTTGTTCCAACTCCTACAGATGGCTGAATAGTGGGCTTTAAACCTCTTCATGCCGAGCTGGAATCGCTCTCCACTTTGTGTGTCAGAGCTGGAATCACAGCCAGACTCTATTTTACGCTTCATCTCCACAGCTGTCCGAGTCTGTGCATTTACAGCTTGGTAAAGTCCATTCCGGAGTTCTGGAAGCACTCCAATATTCCCCAACAGCTCCTTAATTTTCTGAAATTCCAGATAACCTCGCCCATGCCAATCAGCAGAAGCCTGGTAATCATCAATCTCTTCCAGGAATCCAGAACTGAGTGGTTCCATCCAGACATGAAGGAGCCCCCGTGTCGAAAAAAGACCAGGGGTCTGATTTATCAAACATGGCGTAGAATCCTTACTAAACCGTACTGAAGCTCAGCAACACAAATGTTCTTACGCCAAGCAGGTGTGTGACCTATCAAACATGGAGGACGCACAGCTGCACGCAACCTCCGCTTCATAAATCAGAGACTAACCAGAATGTTTCTCAGCTGCATTTTAGTCACATCCCGCCCTCACCACGCCCACTTACTGCCATAAATGCTTAATGCAAAGTGCCTTGTGGACCTCATGCATATACATAAGCCCAAAACTCCACCACCTCCGCTCTGCTCCGCTCCGGCACGAACTCTGCAGCAAAATCGGTCCCGTTGTAGTCAATCAGAGCTGTTCCACTACTGCGGCCGTGCGGCGCAGTGCGCCGCCCGCCGTTCCGCCATCCGGCAAAAGTAGGATCGATCCTATTTTTGCCGGACGCCGGAGCACCTCCGCAGTCAATGACAGAAATCACAACCGCCCAACAGGAAAAGGAGCAAGCACAACTTCCGTTATTTCACAATAAATCGATAAACAAAAGGCGTTTTTTGTTTCATATGCACAGGTTTAACAACTTTTAACAACTATCAATGGCGGCTGAAGTTTAAATGCACAAAAATAAGCCAAAAATACAGTTTCTACTATCAAAGTAGTCACCCTTTGTTGATCCAGACACTGCTGATCTCTCAACACACGATGGGCAGATTAAACAGTTCATGCTGATGTTTCTCCCACACAACGGGTGTTTGGATCTAACTTCCGCGTTTATTGCTCGGACTGTATCGCAAGATCTCGAAAATCCCGCGCACACCTGTTTGCGCACCTCAGGTCTCCGCACCGGAGCGGAGCCGTTGTAGAGCGGGTACCAGTAAAAATTGAGTTCGGAGGCGAGCGGCTGCGGAAGGCGGGGGCGGAGCGGAGATAGTGGAATTTTGGGGTTAGCCGGCTGTTGCAGCGCTCCGCCAATGACATGGCGACCATAGACCAAGGCAGATCAAGGAAGCACTATTTCACAGAAGCAGAAGTTGAGGTACCTGTGGGTGAGGTGGAGAAATGAAAGGAAGTGCTTTTGCAAAACAAATAAGAGAAAATCCACGGAGTGGCACAGCGTTGCTGAAGCCGTCAATGCTGACTTCTTCAGAGAGATCTGTGGTGGTCTTTAATACTCAGAAGAACACTGATCAGAAACTATTGATCACCATGAGTTATTGAAGGTAGATAAAGGAATGTAGGTAGTGAGCTTCAGTGGTTCTGCAGCTCATTCCAGTCGCTGGAAGCAGCAAACTGGAATGAGGAGCCGCCAAAGGAGGTGCGAGCTTTGGGAAAAACCAGAGATGAAGTTACTGGAACGTAAATGGTGCTGGTTATTGGACGGTGGCACCGGAGTTAAGAGCTTGCCCCGTAATCAGAAGGTTGCAGGTTTGAGACCTGCTCAGTTTGTCGCTGTCGTTGTGTCCTTGGGACGGTGGCACCGGAGTTAAGAGCTTGCCCCGTAATCAGAAGGTTGCAGGTTTGAGACCTGCTCAGTTTGTCGCTGTCGTTGTGTCCTTGGGCAAGACATTTAACCCACCTTGCCTGCTGGTGGTGGTCGGAGGGACCGGTGGCGCCAGTTCTCGGCAGCCTCACCTCTGTCAGTGCGCCCCAGGGCAGCTGTGGCTACATCGTAGCTCATCCCCACCAGTGTGTGAATGGGTGAATGACTGATTGTGTTGTAAAGCGCCTTGGGGGGTTCCAAGCCTCTAGACGGTGCTATATCAAATACAGGCCATCTACCATGAGTGTATATGAGCATGAACAATGTTATTAGTATATAAATAAGGTTGAGCCCTGTATTGACCCTTGACCCTGGAAGTAGCAGAAGATGACCCCATTGATGACCTTGCATCCAAAGAATATTTGTGTCAAAGAATCGTGCTGAAGCTGGCAGAGGCAGGTCATGTGACCTGTGCGCCTACCAAGGTGGAAACCGAGGTGGCCTTCATGATGGAAAATGTATTGGTGCCTCAACCAACCCCTACACACACACACACACACACACACACACACTCACACACTCACACACACACACATACCTACACACACACACACACACACACCAGCTACATTTACCTGAAGGGAGCACCGACTGTTATCCCAGCACCAGTCCTGCTGGGCGTTGTATCAGTGGCACCAGAGACATGCGTGTGTGTTTGGGTTTGAGAGATCAATATTAATAAATGCTGGTTTGTTTCTGTCAGTAGAAAATAGCTTCTCCATCCATTCTGCACCGACATGCTAGCTTGATGCAGCTTTGATAACGTGTTGTTCAGAGTGACTGACATGTATGGATGAGTGGCCAGTGGTGTTGTAGTCGTTGTTCTGGCTGCTTGGTGCTTAACCCAGTACACACCCTA